CTTCACCTACTCCTTACCTACTACACACTCACCCTCTTCTATATATAGGAATCATGAATCATTGTAATAGATATCAATATATCAATCAATAATAATACATACAATTTATTCTCTCTCTTTCTCTATACATTATTTCTTACATGGTATCAGAGCTGGTTTAAAACCTAATATTTTTCGCTTCCCCGGCGGGCGGCAACCTCACCTTAGCCGCCCGCCGGATCTCAACCTATTCCGCTGATAAAATCAACAAAGATTTATGCAACTGTAGTCATGTGTGAGGCTGATGGAGAAGAATTCTTCACCTCATATGACGAGACAGTCTGGAACTGGAAACACTGCAATATTCTGCTCTGGAATTCTGCAGCAGCTAGATTATAGCTTGGTTGAGTGCCAAGCTTTGGTTCTTCCACCCACTCTTGAACTTGCCCAGCAAAGTGTGAAGGTTCATGCTTGTGTTGGAGGGACTAGTGTGCGCGAAGATCAGCGCTTATTCTTTGAGTGGGGCAGGAGATGCTTTAAGAATAAGCTGGAAATCAGCTTAAGCTGAAAGTTATAAGCTATAAGCTGTTTAGGCATAAGCTATAAGCACTTTTCCACAGCTCTACCAAACAGGGCTATAGTCCCAGTAGAAGAGGGGGGTGCAAGAACAACTGGGTCCACCATAGGAAGCACAGTAGTAGAGGGTGGTGCAATCGATGAGTGACGAAGCTGAGACGGCGACGAAGACAAAGCAGAATGACGACGGTGGCTGAAGATCGACCCAGCAGATGATCCAACTAGGTATGTTTTGAATCCTAACCCTAGAGGTGAAGCTCTGATACCATGAAGCTTGAGTAACCAGCTTGGGGTATGATAGAATATCACCCCCTATTTATAAATGAAGAATAGGGTTTACAAGAAACACAATTACAAGATGATCCCTGAGGGCATAAAATGATTACAGACCCTAGTGTAACTTTCGGCTAATAAAATATGCTAACACTTTCGGCTAATATAATATGCTAACAGTTAGGTCATGTACTCAGCATCCTATTACTAATCATATCTCTTATTCTCATCTGTCTTCCTCATATAAAACTTTTCTGTCTCAAGTGTCTTCTGTGAGTCCACTTACCAATTTTCAGGATGCTCTTTCTATTCCTGAATGGAAACATGCCATGATGGAAGAGATGGGAGCTCTCAACAAGAGTGGTACATGAGAGTTAGTGGAGTTACCTAGAGACAAAATCCAGTTGGGTGTACACGGTAAAACACAAAGCAAATAGTTCCATAGAACGGTACAAAGCAAGACTGGTTGCTAAGGGTTTTACTCAGACTTATGGAACAGATTACCAGGAGACATTTGCACTGGTTGCTAAATGAACTCCGTGAGAATCTTAGGTAGCGTTTGGTAAAATTTTAGAATTATGATTTGAGAATAGTGGTATTTTGAGTTTGAGTTTTGGAATTATTATTTGAGTCTGAAAATTTTGTTTGGTTATAAGTTTTGAAAAGAGTTTTAAATTGAGTTTGAATTGAGTGATGTGATATATGATATTTGATACAAAAACTTACAACTCATAACCAAACACACAACTCAAAATTTTATTCAAAGCTCATAAAAAAATTTTAAAAAAAATTCACAAATATATATACATATATATATTTTTGTAATATAAAAATAATAGGTGCAAAAAAAAAACCAAAAACAAAACAAAAAACAAAAACGGAACACTGTTCCGATCAACCGGCCGGACGACCGGTGGGACGTCCGGTGAGACGACTTGTTAACCTAAATTTTCCCGCCTTGGAAAGAGTTTTCAAAAGTGAGTGGAATTAATTTTTGAAAATGCTAAACAAATGCCACACTCAAAAGTGAGTGTGAAACTATATTTTGAAAGCTCCACCAAACGGAGCCTTACTCTCTCTTGCTGCAAATTTGGATTGGCCACTTCATTAGTTTAATGTGAAGAATGCCTTCCTTCATGGAGACCTAACAGAGGAGATCTATACGGATATTCTCCCCTGGTTTTGCGGATGCTAAGTCCAAAAGTAAAGTATGCAGGCTCCGAAAGTCGCTTTATGGGCTAAAATAATCTCCTAGAGCTTGGTTTGAAAGGTTTGCTGAAACTATGCTGAAATATGGGTTCAAGCAAAGTTAAACTGATCACACCTTATTTGTGAAACACTCCTCACATGGTAAGACCACAACTCTTATTGTCTACGTTGATGATATTATTCTGACAGGAGACGATGTTGAGGAGATTCCTCATTTGAAGGAATACTTAGCCAAGGAGTTTGAAATAAAAGACTTGCGCAATTTGAAGTATTTTTTGGGCATTGAAGTAGCTCGGTCCAAGGAGGGCATCGTCATATGCCAGAGGAAGTATGTACTTGACTTGCTAAAGGAAACTGAAATGCTTGGAGGTAGATTGTGTAATACACCTCCAGAATCGGGCCAGAAACTAGATGAGGATCAAGAGGGAGATCCAATGGACAGGGGGAGATACCAGAGGCTTGTAGGTAAGCTCATATACTTATCTCACTCACGTCCAGACATTGCCATTGCAGTGAGCATGATTAGCCAATTTATACATGCTCCTAGAAATTCCCACTTAGAGGCAGTTATAAGAATCCTAAAATACTTGGAGGCCTCACTTGGAAAGGGTCTCTATTTCTCAAAACATGGACAGCTCAGCGTGGAGGAATTCACTGACGCAGATTGGGCTGGATCGGTCACTGACAAACGATCAACTTCAGGATATTGCACATTTGTTGGAGGCAACCCAGTCACGTAGCGTAGTAAGAAACATAATGTGGTTGCTAGATCTAGTGCTGAGACAAAATTCAGGGCTATGGCTCAAGGTGTCTGTGAGTTACTATAGATCAGACTATTGTTGGGAGACTTGGGGATATATCAGACCGATTCTATGAGATTATATTGTGACAACAAGGCCGCAATCAACATAGTTCATAATCCAGTTCAACATGACAGAACTAAGAATGTGGAGATTGATAGGTACTTCATCAAGGAAAAACTCACTACTGGCACCATATGTATTCCATTTGTGAAAACTGGAGACCAACTAGCAGATGTTCTCACCAAGGGAATAGGGAGCAAACCATTTGATGGCATTCTCAACAAGCTGGGCATGAGAGATATCTTCACACCAGCTTGAAGGGGAGTGTTAGAATAGGAAATAATATATGTTAGAATAGAAAATAATATGATTTTATTTTATTTTCTCTTAATGGGTGTAATGGGCCGGCCCATAATTTATGCCTTGTGGCACTCCTGTAATTGCTCATTATTATCTATATAAAGGGAAATGAGGTCTAACTCATTCTCTATTCTTTTCTCTTCTCTAAACCTACAAAATGACCAAAACAGCTCTTCTGAGATCATGTACAAAAATGAATACAAGTCAAAATCACACCAACTGAAGATAAAATGATGCAAAATTAATTGAGATGATCGGCTATAAGTATGTCTACCAACGCACACTAGATGTGGGTATAGGTATACTTCACCAGATGTGAATTTAGGCAACAAGATCAACTGGAGAGACACATCCATGTATCCTACTCCAAGGAATCGAGATTAAGGATCATTAAGTTGAGTAGTGTACACATAAACATGCACGCATACAATGATACATATTTTGTACACATATAGAGAAGACAGAATCAAGAGAGAAACCAACTGACTTTGCTTAAATTTGTTTGGGTAAAGTTGTCAAGAGAATTATTCCCAAGAAAAAAACAATGTGAATAAAAAATCAAAAATTTCAGTTTTAAGTATATTGGGAGTAAAGAGAACTAAAAGGCATTAGGGTTTTAATTAACCAAAATACATGTAGTTTACTAATATAATTAGAGAGAGTATAAAAAGACTATACTACCCTTGACTAAATACTCAAACAACATTTAACAAAGTTGAAAGGGGCTATAGCTTCAATTTATTATTCTGTGCATCATTCAAATGATCTTTCATGTGCATACTTCTCTTCCCAGGATATTTTTGTTTTCAATCATTTTATACACAAATAATAACTTAAAACCATAAATTCAAACCCTGTTCACATGTATGTCGTGAATCTTAAATTTAGGCACAGATTTCATGTGGTCTTTCAACTAATAATTCAAACTTTTAGTTGAAATACATAATTATGTGCTTAAATGGAAAACAAAAATAATTCTCTTCCTTAAAATTGGGTGAGCATCTGTGACTTTCTTTTGAATCCATAATTTCATTCACCTTGAAACAGAATCTATCGCAACCCATAATAATGGATAGTTAAAAGTAGAAAAGAAATAAAAAGAAAAGATAGAGAAAAAGAAAGCATAATACAAAAATAGGGTTTTATAATGAGTCACTTTTCCCATCCAAGACCCATGTATTTTCATTAAATAGTTTGAGAAATTACAAGATCACCCTTAATGAAATAACATAAACTCTACCAATTATCTATACATCTGAATAGTGGTGTCTCCAAGTGTTTCCATACATGGCAATTTTAAAACATTTTTATGGACAATTTTATATCATTTTCATTGACATTCTACATAAGCTTACACTTTTAACTGACCAATAATCACCCTAAACACAAAAACATGACCAAACAAAAAAAAAAGTTGTACTTTATGTAATGAAACAAACCCACAACTTACATTGAGCATGGTCTCAGAAACCAGGATTGTAATTCATATTTAAAAGGAAAGTGTCCTATAACGACTAATGCAACTAGCAAACAGTGTACACTCTTCTAATAGTGTAATATCTTCAATGTACAAAGAAAACATGAAACAAAATGCACATACATCAAATTCAATGAAAGAGAGTCTGGCAAGCACAAAACTTGGTTGGTATGGTAAAACCTCATTCGAAAAAAATAGCAAAATCCAAATGTAGTATGGACTCACCCAAATTGTTTTTGATGTCATATCAATTATCTCAACCCAATCTTTGATAAAACCTCGTTAGGAAAAAATAGAAAAATCTAAATGCACTATGAACTCACCTGAATTGTTTGTGATGTCATATCAATTATCTTAACAGAGTCGTCAATCAGATACTTCTTCAGAAGCCGCATAAGTGAAATCAGAAGTTCTTCAGATATGCCAGTGTCCATGCGAAAACTAATTTCTGTAGTATTGTCAGGATTAAGTGGTCGGCAAACATGTGTCTGTCCAGAATCTCCAGGGAGATGAAAAACAACGCTATGAGGATCCCCAATACCAACCTGCAGTCACAATAAAGAGTATACAATCATTTCATTATCAACTCAAAACAATGGGCAACAAACAATAACAAAGACATTGAAATAAAAATAAAAATAATACCCTAGATATAAAATCAGAGACCAATGCCATAAAACTATTCCCATCATCCAAACCACACATGGGGACTAGTGTCCATACTGCCTGGACAATTTGATTGTCACAACACCAATAGTTATCTCCATAAGTATCTTCTGTGTTGTTTTTCCTCTGCAACATATCCCCCATGACTAATTTCTTGTGTAATGCTTTGAGACTGCAAGAACAAAATAAGACGGTCGTCCAGCAAGGAATAGAAAGTCACTCAAAAAGTTTCAAGATTCACAATCAGGTTTTTATTTTGAGATATATTTAGATCATTATATGCCAAATTGATATGGTTCGACAACATTTTGGTGCAAACCAATTCTTTTAAAAGTTAACCATAGCATCTTCTTAAGTATAAATAACAAAAGCACAATATAATTTCACAACATTCAAACTTTGCGACATCATTTACTGCACACTTTGAATATTACAATGAATATGGAACAGATATGGTGATTAGAAAGGAGTGAAAAGCATATGTTAATATCTGCAATTAAAGAAAAAAAAAGAAAGTGCTCATATCCAATCCTAAACACAAGTTCCATATTGTTAAATTTGCCAACGATATATGGACCTTGCTCTTAAACTATTTGCTAGCTAAATGAGGAAAAAATAGGAAGCACCTGCACAGAAGTAATCTTGATGGGAGGTAGCAAGATCTCTTCACAAACTGCAAATGAACATATAGTGCATCCCAGCCCAGAGAGAGAGAGAGACAGACAGACAGACAAACAGAGTAAGTACAGTGGAACAAATAACCAAACAACTAACCAATCATCTGAACATCTCGAACATTATTTAACTCTTAACATAAACCTCTAGGAAGTGTTCCTTCAGTGAATAGCCTTGACATAATCGATGGTGAAACTTCCGTATTCCATCAAATACATCTAATTCAGGGAACGGTTCCAATTCCTGACAAAGACCAGCGCACGGGTTAGATATGATATAATTCCCCAAAAGCACAAGACATGAACAATGATCTCAACCTAAGAGGCATGGACACGGACATGCCAATACAAATATTTTCAAAAAATATTGGACACGACACATGAGAGAGACACAAAATGTATAATTGTATATGTTTATGACATGACATCTATAGAGATAAATAATTATTATATGGCATACAATAGAAATATTGGAATTGGTGGAAATTGTGCCTAGAGGGTGGGTGAATAGGCCAATCAATAAAATATAATTTGCTTCTAAAATTACTGGCCAGTTAACAAATATTCAGATTAAGGGAGATAAAACAAATCATAGAATATCGAAGCAATAAGATGGCTCAGTGATTTAACGTGGACACTGTATAGAAAAACTCCCCCACAAAAGAAAATCACGATCCCAACACCCCAAATAATGCATTAGACAAATCAAAAGGTTACAGGACATAGACAAAATGAATTACAACCATACCCCAGTTCACCTAACTCCAAATCCTCTCCACACTCCACAAGCTCGGACTAAACTGGTCAACCTCCTTTGATTTGCTAGATCACCATGAAGCTCCTTCCCTTAATCTATGAATTTCAACCACTACGTTTTCCCAAACGGGCACTAGATGTCAAGAATCAAGATGACGCAGTGTCATGCCATGCAAAGAGTGAATGTTTTATTTAAAACTCAACAGAAGTTACTGTTAGAATGGGTAATTATGGTATGAATAGGCTGTGAAGATTTGACAGCTCAGTAGATGGGAAAAATATGTATTACAGCTGTGTATATGTCTGTGTGTACGTCCTATAATTACAATGTTAATATCCCTGATTTATGGGGATTAGGTCTTAGGAGAGTTTCCTTTTATACCTTAGTCTTTTCCTCTATATTTCTGTACATTCTTTGGTTGAATATTAACCAGAGATTTCTCATATTCTGTCATGGTACCAGAGCCAAGTCAGGCTTCTTGTTTTTTCAATTTTTCAGCTTTCATCATTGCTGATTTTTTTCCCAATCTGTGCAGAAACCTTTTTTATATTTTCCAAGCCTTCATTGCCTGAAACTGTTGCCAACGGCCTTAATTGCCGTTCATTCATAACCTAATATTCCCACGTGAACCCAGAAATCTTTTCTCCCTTCGATTTCAACTATGTCTAACGATGTTTCAGAATCCAGTAAATCTGCTGTCTCTTCAATGGCTGCAAACAGCACTACCTCAAATAGTTCAGTTCGAGAATTGCAGGATATTCAACATAGTTTACGTCTTAATGGAAAATTATTTGTAGTCTCAGTTTGTTCGAACCTTTTTGAAAGAGAAGGGCAAACTGAGTCATCTTCTTGGGACGTGACCAAAACCAGAAGATCTGAAGTTCACTGCGTGGGATGAGGAAGAGTCGATGGTGATGTCCTGGTTATGGAATTCGATAATGCCATAAGTTAGCGATACTTGCATGTTTTTGACAACATCAAGGGAGATTTGGGAGGCCTGCAGGCAGACCTATTCTAAAGTCCGAAATGGTGCACAAATCTACGAGATTAAGACAAAAATCTCATCAACCAAACAAGGTAACCGCTCAGTCACTGAGTATGCCCAGATTTTACAAAACTTATGGCAATAGTTGGACCATTATCAGTGTATTGAGACGAAGTGTTGCGCTGATGCAGCCCTTCTTAAATGTTTTATGGAAAAAGAGAGGATTTACACCTTTCTTGCCGAATTAAATGTTGAATTCGATCCTGTCCAAGTGCAAGTATTGGGAAAGGAAGAAATTCCTTCACTCAATGAAACAATTGCCATAATGAATGGAGAAGAAGGATGAAGAGGAGTTATGATGGAGCCTCAACCAGCAGATGGTTCAACCTTAGTTACAAAAGGTGCAAATCCCATAGCTGTGAAATCAGACCAGTAACAGTCAAATGCCTATTCCAACGGAGTAGGAGGGAATAATGGGCTGTCAGAAGGATCAAGAGCAGGTAATAAAGATTCTTTATGGTGTACCAACTGTAAGAAGCACTGACATAGCAGGGAGAGGTGCTGGAAACTCCATGGTAAGCCCTCAAATACTAAGAATACTCCTTGGACTGCAAAAGGTAATCAAGAAGGAGGGCCAGGACAAGCACATTTGACCTCGACACAATCAGGAGGAGAAGGAGAATTCTCTTAGGAGCAATCCGAGTCCAATAGAGAAGAGACTGAGAAGTTGAGATGCTTTTTGGGAACATTAAAGAAACCTACGGGTGGTGCAGTTACTTGTTCCTTGGCTCTTTCAGGTAATTCTCAACCATATGCACTTAATGTGTCAACCTCAAAAGGAACTTGGGTAGTGGATTCTGGGGCTACAGATCATATGACCCAATCTTGTCATGGGTTTGTCTCTTACAATCCTTGTCCTAGTTATAATAAAATTACTACTGCTGATGGAACACTGGTTACAGTTGTTGGTCTAGGAGATGTTGTTCTAAATCAGAACTTTGTTTTAAAAAATGTTCTGCATGGGCCCAAATTGTCTACCAATCTAGTTTCAATTCATAAGCTTACAAAGGATTTGAACTGTATGGTGACATTTTCTTCTGCACTTTGTAAATTTCAGGACCAGAGCACAGGGATGATGATTGGACTATCTAGGGATAGGAATGGGCCCTACTTTCTTGAAGAACCTGATGGAAAAAATAGAACTGAGGATCCTATTCCAGTGTCTCTCTCTACTGTCTGAGTCTTCTCTTTCCCATAAACATAAAAGATGGTTGTCTCATCTTCGTCTTGGTCATCCTCCTTTCAATATTCTTAAAGTAATGTTTCATGGTTTGTTTAAAGGAGTTGATCTAGGTATATTTCATTGTGATGTTTGTGAACTTGCAAAACAGAAGCATGTTTCCTTTCAAATAAGTAATACGAGAGCTTCCATACCTTTTACTCTAATTCACAGTGATATTTGGGGACCTTCTACAGTTTATAATATTTCTGGGGCTCACTAGTTTGTCTCATTTATTGACGATTGTACCCGTGTATCATGGGTTTTTCTCTTAAAACAAAAATCAGATGTCAGTTCACCCTGTCAAAAAATTTTCCACATGGTGAAAAACCAATTTGGAGTTGAGATAAAAGGAATTCAGTCTAATCATGCTAGGGATTATTTTGATGAAGTGTTGTCACCATTCTTTGAAGACAATGGAGTCATTCATGAGTCTTCTTGTGTCAACACACCACAACAAAATGGTGTGGCAGAACGGCAAAATGGCCATCTTCTAGCTGTTACCCAAGCCTTTTTTTTTTCATAAAAAATTGTTCCAAAAGTTATTAGGGAGAAGCTGTCGTAACTACACATTTGATTAATCAATTACCCACTCGAGTTCTTGATTATAACTTATGAAGCACGGACACGGACACCGACACAAGACACGGCAATTTCCAAAAAAATGGGGACATGGACACGGACACGGCGGGGAACACGGCAAATTTTATATATATATATATATTTTTATGTGTTATGTAGATTCATATTACATTCATCTTAAATCAAAACTAACAAACACTAACATAGTAACATTAATTCAATAAATATAACCACTACATTTAAACAAATTAATAGATCATCCATCCACAAAAAATTCATAATAAACGATAACAAGAACCAAGACAAGAAGAGAAAAACATTCAACATCCAACAATATTCTCCACAAAAGCACTAAATAAGAGAGGCAAAAGGAGGAAAAAAAAAAAAAAATGAGCCCCACCATGTCCTATGCCGTGTCCCGAAATGGACACGCGTGTCCTGCCATGTCCCATGCCATGTCCCGATATAGACACGCGTGTCCCGGCCATGTCCCCTATAAAAAAATTATTAAATTAAAGGGACACGCCATGTCCCAGCCAGATGGTGTGTCCCGTACGTGTCCCCGACGTGTCCACGTGTCGGACACTTTCACAGAACTGATTTTGGATTGTCCATGCTTCATAGATTATAACAGCCCCATGGAATCATTTTCAAAGTTTTACCCTGACTTCAAAACAACAAATCAACTGGTTCCTAGGGTCTTTGGGTGTATGTCCTTTGTTCATATTCATTCAAATAATTGTGGGAAACTTGATCCAAGGGCTCTTAAGTGCATTGTTGTTGGATATTCTTCTACACGGAAGGGATTTAAGTGTTATCATCCTCCAACAAAACGATTCTTTGTCTTTGTAGATGTAACATTCATTGAAATCGAGAATTACTTTCTGAATCCTTATCTTCAAAGGGAGACATCATTCATGGAAGATAAGGACAGAGATTTGTTTTTACTTGATCTTTTCATCCTTCTCCTCACAACATCAAAATTTATAGTCATCTATCTTTATTCCTTTACCGAATGAGTCAGACCCAAGTATTCCGAGCCTAACAAAAAAAGATAAACATATTCAAAGTGCTATTCGCCCATTGCAGGTATATTCAAGGAGGAAAGAACCACTTGTTCAAGCAATGCAGGTTCTTGATTCAGAACCACACTTTGGTACTAATAATGTTGAGGTAACTCCTAATTCTGAAGATTATGCAAGTAATGTGCCAGTTGTTGATGTTGATCTCCCTATTGCGATTAGAAAAGGTGTTAGGAAGTGTACTCAGCAGCCCGTATATCCATTGTCTCACTTTGTGTCCTATGAAAAGTTGTCAAGTGGACATAAAAGTTTTCTTATCCACCTCAACGCTATTACTATCCCAAAAACTGTCTCTGACGCATTGGGAAGTAAAGAGTGTAAGGAAGCAATGAAGGTTGAAATGGATGCACTTGAGAAGAACAAAACATGAGACTTGGTGGAATTGCCTCAAGGAAAGAAGCTAGTGGGATGTAAATGGGTCTTCACTGTGAAAAAAAAGGCAAACGGATCACTTGAACGATAAAAGGCAAGGTTAGTAGCCAAGGGATATACTCAAACCTATGGGTATAGTTTATCTTGAAACATTTACTTAGAAAATATGAGGAAGAAGAACTCCGAA